TTCATTTCCATTTGCTTGTAAAGATGAAAGTAACAAAGGAAAATGAAAGATTAAAGGCCAAAGACTTGCCAGGAAGCAGGGGTCCATGACCTGCCTGAACAAATACATATATTCTAAACCATTAAGTCAAACATTGACACAGTGAAACAAGTAATGGTAGTATGTGTGTGTGTGTGGGGTGGAATGGAAGATGGGAAGTAATGGAAGGGTTGAAGGTGGTAGGACAGTAAGAGGAAAAAATGAAGTGTAGGTATCACCCTTCTGAGTAGTCCATAAAGGATGTCTTCAGGATGGGCACCTTCAATTTAATTGAATTTGGCAAGCATTTATTAATTTTAGAACTATTTGATTTATGAGAGGAGATGTGAAAAAAAAAAAAACAAAACCAAAAACCAGCCTGGGACTTTTAGTGGACTGCTATTCAGAATGAGCCAGCTAGTGTTATGGCAGCTGATGAGACTACTTCAATCTCAGGTTACTTCTAGTGACTTACTGTACATGGAGAGGGTGAGGTGTCTGTTCTATTGTCCTTTTCTGATCATTTTGTCTGGTTGTGAGTACCACATTTCAGGAAGGATATGGACAAAATAGAAGTGTGTTCAGTGATGAGCTTTACAAATAGGAAGTAGGCCAGAAGCCATGCCATGTGAGGACCTGTGGAAAGAATTGGGATGTTTACCCTGAAGAACAAAAGATTGGGGGTTGAACAGGGAGAATGACACGATGACCGGCTTCAGGGATGTGAGGGACTTTCATGCGGAATAAAGGTTAGCTTTATTATGCTTGGTCCTTGAAGAAAGAAGTAGCAGCAATGGGTTTGAAGTGGCAAGAAGCAAATTTGTCGTTACTCAGTCATTTCAGTGTCTGACTCCTTGTGATCCCATTTGGGGTTTTCTTGGCAGTGACACTGGAGTGGTTTGCCATTTCTTTCTCCAGCTCATTTTACAGATGAGGAAATTGAGGCAAGCAGGGTTAAGAGACTTGCCTGGGGTCACACAGCTAGTAAGTGTCTGAGGCTGGATTTGAATTCAGGAAGTTGAATCTTCCTGACTCCAGGCCCAGCGCGTTATGTACTATGGTGCCACCTGGCTGCCCCTCAAGCAAATTTAGGCACAGCACAAATTTCCCAATAATAAGAACTGTCCCCAGATGGAATGGGATGCCCCAGGAGAGAGTGCATTCTCATTACTGGAGCTCTTCAAGCAGTGGTGGGAAGGTCACTTGTCAAGTTTGTTGTAGAAGGGATCCCTGTTCAGGTGGAGGGGCCGGATGTCCCCTGAGATACCCACCAGCTCAGAGAGCCAATAGTTCTGTGAAGTTGGAGGCCTGGCACACGATATGAGGCCCCCAGAGATACTTCTCTGTCTTTGAGCCCCCCCTTTTTTTCTCACCCTGAGCATCATTGCCATGACCCTTTCCTTTTGCCTGAGTTTCTCTCACTGATAATCCTAAGGAAAGAGACGCAGATTCACAACCTCTCCCTTGTGCAGATGTTTCCAGAATAAGCTGAAAACATTTTGTTTAGATTTTCTGTAGGTTTTTTACTAGTAGTAGATACAGGGAAGCAGATGTGGGTTGAAGTTAACGGAAAGGTAAAGTGATCTACTTACAAGGAATCTTAAACAGGCACTCTGGTCTGCATGGAGAGATCTGCTGCTGGAGGCCTCTTTGTTCTTACCTCACTTCTTTGTGCGTGACTCTCTTTTTGTTCTTATAGGCCGCTGTTTCTGCTGCTGCTTCTGCTGCTGCTGATCCTCTGTTGTGACTCGATGTCCTGACGTCTGCATGAATTGACTATGAATGGGGCAGAGATGCACAAAGTCATCAGTCACACTTTCTCTTCCAGATTCCTTTAGGGGCTCATTCTGTCAGAGCTAGAAGGGACTCTAGAACACAGGATGTCAGAGCTGGGAGGACCCTTAGAACACAGAATGTCAGCTAAGAAGGACCCTAAAAGAGAATGTCAGAGTTTGAGGGGGCCTCAGGACAGAGAATGTCAGAGTTGGAAGGACTTAAGATTATAGAATGTGAGAGCTAGAAGGAACCTTAGACTGGAGAGTATTAGATTGTAAGTGTATGTGGGGCAGAACCTTAGAGACCTTCTACTTTAACTCACTGATTTTGTAAAAACTGAGGCCCAGAGAGAAAAAGTAATATCCAAAGTCATGCATCTAGTGAGTCATAGAGACAGGACTGGGTCTGAGTCATTGACTCCAAATCCATTGCATTTTCTACGTGACTGCTCTTATCTCTGAGGTAGAAACTTCTATTAGCTTTTATTACATGGGCTCATGTTGCTGGAATTCCACTTCCCTCCCTCTTCCTCCACCCTTTGGTCACAGCATAATGATAACAAGAAATATTCTTCTTGTCCCATCTACTCTTCAACACACACACACTCCTAAAACACCATGGATTATAGCTATCAATTTTCTTGGGCTCTACCGGTGCCCCCCACCAACCCAAACTAAGGCCAGGTTCACTATCATCTCACAGTCAGTCTCAGTCCCCACAGAAAAGTCAAGGTCAGTTCCTCACAGAAGCAGGGAAAGAGTGGCTTAGGTTTAGGGTAGTATTATTGGTCACAGAGGCACAAAACAGTAGCAACCATCTACTTGAACCCATCCCCCGCAAAGGACCCCGCTTTTTCCTTCCTCCCCCTGTAACACATCCAATGTCTGGCCAGCCCTCCAGTCTCCAATGAGGGGGAGCTTTCTACTTCCCAAGGGAGACCATTCCATTCCTGATATCAAATCTAAATCTGCCTCCTTATAACCTCCTCTCATTGTTCCTGGATCTTCCTTCTATGGCCAAACAGATAAAAAGTCTAATCTGTCTTCTGCTTGCAGCCCTTCAAATACTTGACAACAGTTACCTGGCCTCTCCCCAGAAGGCTCTTTTTTTTTTTTCTAGGCAAAACACTCAAGCTTGCTTCAGCAGTCTTTACACATGGATCAAATGCTTTTCTTCCTACAATGGAGCATTTCTCTAGAGAATCTGCTTTGGAGGATGTGCTCAGGTGCTTTTCTCTCTAGCTAATCACAGAGCAGCTGAGTCCAATGATGTTAAGATCAGAAGGGTCCTTGGAGCATACACAAAATATTTACCAAGCAACTATAATTTGCAAGGCATTTGTGTGAGGGCCAGTGCTTGCCATAATGTCTGGTCTCTCTAGTTTCTGTGACTCTTTTAGATTATGCATATAAGGATTTGGTTTTGTTATTACAGAGTTCTGTAACTGCAAATGCTATGCTTCTCCACTCTGAGGAGTGTAAATGAATCAATATTGCTTTCTATAGAAAATACATGCATACACACATTTGGCCATAGCTATGGAGAAGGAAATGGCAAACCACTCAAGTATCTTTGCCAAAAAAAAACCCTAAATGGGGTCACAAAGAGTCAGACATGACTGAAAACAACTAAACAGCAACAGTAAATATTAGTAAGGCCAGGCTTTATCCCTTTGATAAGATCTGTTTCTAAGTTATTCCCATCTCCAATGGAACCTGAGTTAAGATTTACCCAGAGGAAAATACCCCATCAGCATCTCTATAAGACCTCTGACTCCTCACAACCCAAGTTCATTCTCTATGTGCTTGCCAGGTAATTGATATGTACCCTATGAGTATTAAATGTCCTAAGTTTTCTGTTTTGATCCTGAAAACCAGCCGAGAAGATCCTCCCCTCTTTGCCTGGTAATAACTTTGTAGATTAAGTACCCATCTGGGTTCAGATGGACCTGAAGCACTTGGCATCATAGATAACAAAGACCCACTCCATCTGCCTTGTTCACTAATCTTGAGTAAATATTATTTATTATTGAGGAAATGTTACCCTCTCGTACCCTCTTCCTCCTCAACAATTACTGTGTTCAGAGATTCCAAAGAGCAGATTTGGAAGCAGAGGTAGCAGATAACACTTTGCTCTCCCAAAATCACCATCCTAAAACCCCTGAAATGGAGGGAACATTTCTATCATGTCAGAGATGTAATTTTTCCTGTGCAAAAAGGTGAAGCTAGGAAGCCATATTTGAAGCCTCCCTAACACCACAATCTGGGAAGCTGTGACATCCCAATCTGGTGGCCTGCCATATTATCACCCCAATTTGGACATAGATTTAGAGGATCACATTATCTCAGTCCTGTCTCTAGTAGATGATAAAGGATATCATTTAATAAATATCTTACTATGAAGAATATCCTTTGATAAATATCTTTTGGGGATACAAACAGTTTTTCTAAGGCAGGAATCTAAGCTATCAACAATCACATGGAAAAATGCTCCAAATAATTTATTACCAGAGAAATGCAAATTAAAGCAACTCTAGAGTTTTATCTCATATCCATCAGACTGAGAGAGATGACCAAAGTGGAAAATAACAGACGTTGGAGGGTCTGTGAGAAAAGAGAACTGTTGATAGAACTATGAATTGGTTCAGCTCTTCTGCAAAACAACTTGGAACTAGGTCCAAATGTCACTAAGCTGTTCATACTTTTTGACCCAACTACAACCCAAAGAGATCAAAGAAACAGGAATAGACCAGATATTTGCAAAAAACATATATATAGTTTTTTTTTTTGGTAGTAGCCCCAAACTAGAAACTAAGGGGATGCCCTCCTATTAGGCAATGGTTACACAAATCATGGTATATGAATATAATAGAATTTCATTAAACTTTAATAAATAGGGAAATGGACAGTTTCAGATGACCCTGGAAAGACCTCTATGAATGATGCAGGGTGAAGTGAGGAAAACTAGAACTATTTATAGAATGACAACATTATAAAGAAAAACAATTTCTCAAGACTAGAATTCTGATCAATGCAATGATAAACTACAAATTCAGAAGACTAAAGATGAAATGTGCCATCCACTTCCTGCTAAGGAAATGGTGGATTAAATAAGACATAAACTTTTGGGAATGGTCAATGTGGAAATTTGTTTTGCTGGCTATGCATATTTGTTCTGAGGGCTTTCTTTTTCTTTTTCTCTTTCAGGGCCTGAATTATAGTAGCAGCCAAGTGGGTATAGAGAAGAATGGATGGGAAAGATACTACAGAGGTAAATCCAACTAGATCTGACAACTGATTGACATAGGAGGTGAGGGAAGAGCCAGTGATGACTCCAACTTTGTGAGCCCAGATAACTGTAAATATGACTGTGGCTTCAGTAGAAATGGGATTATTGGGAGGAGGAGCTGATTTAGAAGGAAAAGGATGAGTTCAAGTTTGGACAGGGTGAATTTGAGTTGCCAATGGGGCATCTAGACAGAGATATCTGCCATGTAGTTGGCAATGGGGAGGCTTGAGTTCAGAGGAGAGATAAGAATACAGATTATCTTATCACAAAATCTGGGCCTTAGAAGAGAGAATGACAAAGAAGGAGGTGTCCTTAGAACATAGCATATTGGACCTGGATGTGATCTTGGAATATAGAATTTTTTTTTTAGCATCTCAGAGCATTAAAGGATCTTAGAGACAACAGGATCTTAAAATAAAAAGTTTTGACCTATAAGAGACTTCAGAGGTCTTCTGATCCAACCCATTCAATCTACCCATTTTACAGATGAGGAAAACTGAGACTTGGATAAGTTAAATGATTTGCCCAAGACCACCTTCATCTTGTTGAACTCTCCACCTTCCTTTATTTTTCCTATCTTGGCTACCTTGAGAACATCAGGTACTTTCTACTTCATCTGAATCATTTTAGGAGGTCTCTTAGTTAATTACTTTTTAATATTTGACAGACATAATCCCAGGAAGAATCCATCAGTATTTGCCTTTTATCAGTATTACTTCATAGACAGACCTCAAGCCAGGGGCAAGAAGCCTAGATTTTGGCATAGGCTCTGTTTTATAACACTACATAAATCACTTTCCCACATAGTCCCAGTACCTACTTTACTTATAAAAAAAGGGGGGGGGAGAATAAAAATTTCTCAGTTTATTTCATAGGATTATTTTGAAACTAGAAAAAAAAGATATAAAGTTCCTTTGGATAAGCATAATAGAATACATTATGAGAGGGTGGCAGAAAAGACAATCAAAAGATTTGAGTTTGATTGGAAATTCTTGGCTTTGGCAATACTTTGTTATGTGGAAGTCAATTGACTATGCTAACGAACCCTCCTCCAAGGAAGGGGGTTAGAAGTCTGAGCCTGCTGTGAAAATCTGTACTTCTTAAATGTTTGCTACTTATCTCCCTAACTAGATTTTGAATAGAAGTGTGTCATATTTCTTCTGGCTCCTCATATAGATCCTAGCTCTATACCGACTCAGCATATGTTTGTTGATCGAATGACTGAAAGAATTCTTTCAATTCAAACCAGAGATGGTGGGTGGCTGAGTTAATAAAGGTATTTGAATCTCTTATAGACTCTTGCTCAGGGAAAAAAAACTTTCCAAACCTTCATTTCCAAGAATACAACTTAGAAACAGGCTGAGGGAGTTATCATAACGAAGAACTTTCTGATGGGGAGGGTTGTAAAATACCTGTCTGGCTAATTCAAGGAAATTATAAAATCCCCTTCTCTGGGAAAAAAAAAAGGTGGGAAAGTATTTGGCTGGAATAGTTTGTTTGGCTGGCTAGAGACAAAAGGCTGGATGAAATGACCATTCCTGGTTTATTCCAAATCATATAGTCAGAATCATATCAGACTCCAGAGTCCCAAAGTAATAACCTAGAAAATATGGCTCTGCCTTTGCATTTTCTACTTTCAGTCATGACTGCCTTTAAATCTCCTCATTTTTATGGACATCATTTCCATTTAATGATCTTCATAGATCTTGCAAGGCTTCCTAAATTTCTCTGATTTTTCTCTTATGTGAAAATTCTTATGGTGTAATAATATTATCGTGTATTCATATACTGATTTGTTCAGTGATTCCCCAGTTGAGGATGAATATCCACTTTCCTTCTTTGGCTTCCTTAAAATATATGCCAGTGATGTAACTGGACTAAAGAGTGTATTTAGTGCCTTTATTTTAAGTATAATTTCAAATTATTTTCCATACTGATTGGACTTAATTATCACTCCCCCAACAGTATATCAATATACCTATTTTTTCCATAGTTTCTCTGACATTAACTATTTTCATATTCTGAACTCTTCGTTAATCTAATGGCTATGAGGTGAAACCTCAGAGTTATTTTAGTTTGGATTTCTCTTATTAGTGATTTGGAACACTTTTATATGGTTGTTGATAGCTTACATTTCTATTTTTTAAAAACTTCCTATCCAAATGCTTTGACCACTTATCCATTGGGTAATGACTCTATATATTTATATCAATTCCCTTTATAGCTTGGCTATTGGCCCTTGGTCAGAGAAATATGATTTTTCCCAATTAACTGCCTCTCTCTTAGTTTTCACTACGGTGATTTTTTTTCCATGCAAACAAAATTGAATGTCAATTGAAAATGTTCACTTTTTCCTCTTATGATCATATCTATGATGGCTTTAAACTAAAAAGGAAGAAGAGAAGGAAGACCGCCTTTGTATATCTTCCAAGCTGAATAAATTATACCTACAGAACAATAGCAGTTGAAATACCCAGAAGTTCAGTCAATTTGCAAGCATATATCAAGGCCTATAGTGAGCCAGACAATGGAGCTCACAGTGGGGGAAATTACATGCAAACAACTATGGACAAACAAGCTATATACAGGATAAATGGGAAATAATCAAGAGAGGGAAGGCACTAGAATGAAAAGGTGTTGTACAGGAAATCAGCGAGCGAGACCCAGACATAATTTGAAATGTGAATTTATTAGCGCGTGGCTGCAAGGGGTATGCACACCCAAATCAAGCAGCCCCAATCAGGGGCAGAGCTTGAGTTTATGAAGGCAGAGGACACAGAGGAAATGGTCAGGGGTTGCTTAAGTGGGAAGTTACAGAAGCCAAACAAGCGATTGGTTAATCCTGCCTTTGGGACCATATAAGGATCATGGAATGGATTGGGGAGGGTATCTTTCTTGGTGGGTTTTCTAAGGCGGGAACTCCTACTTCTGGGAAGAAGGACATACAAGGTGAAGGTCAGAAAACAAAATGGAGTTCAGCACATGGAGTTTAGTACTTCAATGGGACCTCCTATTTTCACACCTCATAGGTATGGGATGAAGCCCATGACTAGAGCATGGCTCTAGGTGGGTGTACTTTCATGAAAAGTAACAGGACCATCAAATAGGGGAGAAGGGAGCATTTGGTATTAAGAAGTTATACTCATGTGAGGAAACCCAGGGAATAGAAGGGGAAGCATTTGGGTCAAGGTCAATAGAAAGAAAAATAAAAAGGATTTTGTCATTGGAGTGTACTGCAGGCCACACATAAGTCCAGCAATACTGAGAAAGAGGAAATAAATGAGTTTAGGAAACAGCACAAACCTGTCACAGAGGCATGACTTCAGTTATCCAGAAAATTGTTGGGGATCTCTCTCTCTCTCTCTCTCTCTCTCTCTCTCTCTCTCTCTCTCTCTCTCTCTCTCTCTCCCCCCCTTCCCTTTCTCTCTCCTTCTTTCTCTTCTCTTTTCTTATCTTCATTTCTCTTCTCTCCTCTCCTTTCCTCTCCTCTGTCTCCTCTATCTCTGTCTCTGCCTCTGTCTCTGCTTCTGTCTCTGTCACTCTCTCTCTCTCTCTCTCTCTTTCTCTCTCTCTCATTCCCTCCCCCCATCACTGTCTCTCTCTGTCTCTGTCTCTTTCCCCTTCTTTTTCTGCCAAAAACAGAGCAACTAATAACTTCTTGGTTTGCCTTCGTATGAATTTCATCCATCATAAAGTGGAGGAATCAACAAGAGGAAATTCTATTTTGGATCTGATACTGACAGGGAAGAACTGCTTGCTAGGTTGGAAATGAAGAGAACCTGGATGGAGGAGGGAGGACAGGAGGGAATATGCATTTATTAAGTAACTAGAAAGTGACTTTTACTTATCATTTATGGCTTGTTCAATTTTTGAGATTGGATTATCTAAATCCTCTATTTCTAGTTTGTTAATCTGAGCATATAGATAGATAGATAGATAGATAGATAGATAGACTGATAGATAGAAAGATATAGATATATATCACATATATATGTGTGTATCTTACATATTTACATATATGTATTCATTTAATTTAGATTATCAGTTTTATTGTCATATAATTTGGCAAAATAATTTATAACAATTTCCTTTTCTTCTTCGTGTGTTGTGAATTCTTTTTCATTTTTTATGCTTGCAATTTGGTTTTCCTCTCTTTGAAAAATCAAGATTAGCTAATTCTTTATCTTAGGTTTTAAAATAGCTCCCAGTTTCATTTAGTTGTTTAATGATTTTTCTTTCAATTTTGTTAATATCATCTTTGATTTTTAAGATTTCTATTTTTGTGTTGAACTGGGATCATAAATGTTTTTCTTTTTTCTTTTTTAGTTGCACACCCACTGTATTGAGCTATTCTTTCTCTCTTCTACTGATGAATGTGTTTAAAGACATAAATTCTCCCCTAAGTACTGCTTTGGCTATATCTCAAAAATCTTGATATTGTCATTATCATTAATAAAAATTATCTTTTCTCCTATGATTTGTTCTTTGACCCAGCTGGTTTTTAGGATTTCTATTTGGTCTCCAGTTTATTTTTGGTCTTTGCTTCAAAGGCCCTTTATTAAATATAATTTTTGTTACATGGTGCTTTATAAAGGTATGCTTAATATTTCTGCCTTTTTGCATTTGGTTGTGAGGGTCTCATACCCTAACACAAGGTCAGTTTTTGTAAAAGTGCAATGCATAGCTAAGAAAAATGTATACTCCTTTTTACTCCCATTCACCAGAGGTCTCTCATATTTAATTTTTCAAAAAATTTATTTGGGTCTTTAACTTCTTTCTTATTTATTTTTGGTTAGACTTATCTGGCCTAAAAGGGGACACGTTTAGGGCTCTTCCCCACTCTTCATGCTTTTATTGTATATTTCTCCCTGTAACTCATTTAACTTTTCCTTTAAGTGTTTAAATGCTATATCATTTGGTAATATATGTTTCGTATTGATTTTATTTCATTGATTATGGTACCTTCCATTAATATGTATTTT